TCCCAGTTCCCTCCCAGTCCCTCCCAGTCCCTCCCAGTCCCTCCCAGTCCCTCCCAGTTCAGCTCACGCCAGCAGCAGCGCTCCCAGCACGTCCAGCACGTCCAGGTGCACCTGGGGCAGCAGCAGCCCCCGCAGGGGCCCCTCCCCGAACCAGTTCTGGGGGCACAAAACCAGTAAGGACCAGTTCAGACCAGTACAGACCAATACAGACCAGTACAGACCAGTACCGGTCAGTTTAAATGGAAATAAACCAGTTTAAATCGGAATTAAACCACTTTCTGTTGGAATAAACCGGTTTTAATTCTCACAAAGGAGAACCAGCCTGACCAGTACAGACCAGTAAGGACCAGTTCAGACCAGTACAGACCAGTAAGGACCAGTTCAGACCAGTACAGACCAGTACAGACCAGTACAAACCAGTTCAGACCAGTACAGACCAGTACCAGTCAGTTTAAATGGAAATAAACCGGTTTAAATCAGAATTAAACCCGTTTCAGTTGGAATAAACTGGTTTAAACCACCAGAAAGGAGAACAAACCCAACCAGTACAAACCAGTAAGGACCAGTTCAAACCAGTAAAGGTTTTCTGGGGGTTTTTAAAGTGGATTTTTGTTCCTTTGGGATGGATTTTTGGGGTGGTTTTGGGGTAATTTAGGATGATTTTGGGTTTTTTTGGGCTGAAACTCAGGAGATGTTTTAAGAAGGGTTTTGGGGTGATTTTCGGGTGATTTTTGGGGTGAGTTTGGTGATTTTGGGGTGATTTTGGGTTTTTTTTGGGGTGACACCCAGGAAATGTTTCAGGAAGATTTTTGGGATGATTTTTGGGGTGATTTTGGGGTTTTTTTGGGGTGACACTCAGGACATGATTTAAGAAGGTTTTTGGGGTAATTTTTAATGTGAATTGGGGTGATTTTAAGATGATTTTGGGGTGATTTTTGGGGTTTTTGGGTTGACACTCAGGAGATGTTTTACAAAGGTTTTTGGGATAATTTTTGGGGTGATTTTAAGATGATTTTGGGGTGATTTTTGGGGTTTTTGGGTTGACACTCAGGAGATGTTTTAAGAAGGTTTTTGGGGTTTTTGGGGTAATTTTTGGGGTGATTTTTGGGGTGATTTTGGTGTTTTTTGGGGTGACACTCACCAGGTTCTTGGTGGTGATGTTGAGGGCGCGGCAAACGAGGTCCAGAATGTCCTGAACTGGGACGGTGACGGGGGCCACGAAATCCTTACTGGGAACGGGGAGAGCGTCACTGGGAGGGACTGGGAGGGACTGGGAGGGAACTGGGAGGGAACTGGGGGGAACTGGGAGGGACTGGGA